ATGGAATGGAATGGAATAGAATAGAATAGAATAGAATAGAATAGAATAGAATAGAATGGTTGGAAGGGACCTTGGAGGTCATCTAGTCCAACCCCCAGCTCAGGCAGGAAACCCTATACCATTTCAGACAAATGGCCATCCAGTCTCTTCTTAAAAACCTCCAGTGTTGGAGTATTAACAACTTCTGGAGGCAAATTGTTCCACTGGTTAATTGTGGGGTTTTTTTTGTTATTATATGAACAATGATCAAGTTTGCTGTTTGCTTTGGTTGGTTAAATCAGGGTTCCCCAACCCCGGTCCATGCACTGGCACTGATCCGCGGTATGCCAGAAACCAGTCCACAGAAACAAACAAAGCCCCATCTGTGGGATGCAGGCAGCATGTGAAATAACACCCCTTCCGGTCCGCAAAAAAACCTCTCTCCACGGAACTTGTCCCTGGTGCCCAAAAGGTTGGGGGCCCTTGGGTTAAATGGTCTCCACCATTGTTATGTGAGCCAAGAGGCTAGAGGAGTGGTCCCCAACCTTCCCAGCTTCGCGATTCGATGGGAGGAGGGGGAGAGGAGCTTCACACATGCGTGCGAGTGCCTGCCGCTCGTGCAAATGGAGCTGCATGAGCGTGCTCGTCTGCTGCTTGCTGCGGCCCAGTTTTGAACAGGTTGTGGCCCAGTACCAGGCCACGGCGGAGGGATTGGGGACCCCTGGGCTAGAGAATTTACAGGGCTCCAGAATGAAAGGTGCCACCTGCCCATCATTTGCTCTGGCAATGCCAGGCGGCCCACTGCATCTGCACCACCGTGCCCCCAAGCATAAAGTTTTTTATCTACCTATCCAGCCTCTGTCCTGCCTCATTTGTCTCGGTTGCCTGTTGTGTTGACCCTGTCAACTGATTCAGCGACATGGCGACCTGTGGAGAGCACCACTGCTGTGGTGTTGCAATATGTCACTGAGGGCAACTGTCTTGTATGTGGCTGAAAGCAAAGGGGTGGCTGGTGGGGTCCTTGCTCAGACCCTTGGTACTTGGTCTTGTGCTGTAGCCTATTTCTCCTTGATCCTGTTGCTCAAGGATGGCCAGCATGCCTTCAGGCTGAACAATTAAACTTTGGGGCTCCTATCACAGTGCAATCACCCCATTCCATCCAGGATTTGTTACCATCCAAGGGGGGCCGTTTGCTTACAGCAGTGTTTCTCAACCTTGACAATTTTAAGGCATGTGGACTTTAACTCCCAGAATTCCACAGCCAGCAATGCTGGCTGTGGAATTCTGGGAGTTGAAGTCCACATGCCTTAAAATTGTCAAGGTTGAGAAACACTGGCTTACAGCCTCCCGACTGGAGCGGTATCAGATCGCACTCCTTGACAACTTACAAGTTCATATCAAGCACAGGGGCGACCTTTCTTCCCCAAATGAAACAGGATGGTGATCATGATTATGTACCAACTATTACTGTAGTGTTTTCTGGCTGGTCAGATTTAACTGACCAGGAGGATCAGTTAGAGCAGTGGTTCTCAATATGTGGGTCGTGACCCCATTTGGGGTCGAACGACCATTTCACGGGGGTTGCCAAACAACGCAGTCCGCCATTTTTTTCCCCTTTTCCTTAACTGTGCTACTCCCTTTTATTCTATTGGCTTTTGAAAGCCAATAGAATAGACTCTCTTGAATAGAATCTAATTCTATTGGCTTTCAAAAGCCAATAGGAATTGTCCAGGCTGTCTCTGCCCTGCTGAGCCCGCCAAAAGCCCCAGTCTGCAAACGGTGCTGCAAGTTGTCTGCAGAGAAGGCGAGCTGTCTGGAAGCTTCCACCCCTCCCTGCTGAGCAACTACTAAAAATGTAAGTAAAAGAGGGCCAGGGGTGGGAGGTGGGAAGCCGGCGGCGCAAGGAGGGGTGGTGGCGCGCGTGGGGTCTGGCGGGTGCCTTACCTCCCTTGGGCTGGGCCAGCTGGTGGCCCAGCCGGTGGTCGGCCTGCGCCGTCTCTGCCGCTTGCCAGCTACGCCTCGGCCAGCGCAGGGGGCGGCACCACGCATGCGTGGCACTCCAGGACAGGGAAAGTCCTCGACTTACAACCGGTTGGGTAGTCCTCAACTTATGACCAGTTGGGTAGTCCTCAACTTATGACCGGTTGGGGTCGCGGCATTAAAAAGGTTGAGAACCACTGAGTTAGAGGATACGGACAGGGACCTGTATACAGATGGCAGCAGTTTTATGAGTCAGGGAGGAAGGCTAGCTGGCTCTGCCGGGGTCACATTGGATCAGGTAGTAGAAGCAGCAGCTCGCCCTGCAGGTACCTCAGCTCAGAAAGCTGAACTCATTGCTTTGACGAGGGCCTTGGAATTGTCAGACAGTGCGGTTGTTAATATCTTTGTTGTTGTTAATTGCGAAGTCATGTCTGACCCATCACAATCCCATGGACAACGTTCCTCCAGGCCTTCCTGTCCTCTAACATCTTCTGGAGTCCATTGAAGCTCACGCCTCCTGCTTCAGTGGCTCCATCCAGCCACCTCCTTCTCTGTCGCCCCTTCTTCTCTTGCCCTCCATCTTTCTCAGCATCAGGCTCTTCTCCAGTGAGTCCTTCCTTCTCATTAGGTGGCCAAAGGACTTGAGTTTCCACTTCAGGATCTGGCCTTCTAAAGAGCAGTTGGGGTTGATCTCCTCTAGGACTGACCGGTTTGATCATCTTGCAGTCCAGGGGACTCGCAGGAGTCTTCTCCAGCACCAGAGTTCAAAGGCCTCCATTCTTTTGTGCTCAGCCTTTCTTATGGCTCAACTTTCACAGCCATACATTGCAACTGGGAAAACCATGGCCTTGACTATACGCACTTTTGTTGGCAGGGCAACGTCTCTGCTTTTTAGTATGCTGTTTAGATTTGCCATAGCTTTCCTCCCCAGGAGCGTCTTTTAATTTCTTGGCTGCAGTCCCCATCTGCAATATCAGTAAGTTTGCTTTTAGTGTTCTACATGCGCAGGGGGCCTTGTGGAAGGAGCGTGCTTTGCTCACTGCTCAAGGCACCCCTGTAAAATATGGACAGGATATTTTGGGGCTGCTGGATGCTGTTGGCTTCTGGTTGGAGATGGTTTAAGGAACTATTCATTGGTCTTTGCTTTGTGGGTATTCCTTGATCTCTTTTCCTGTTGCATCACTCACTGCTTGTCCCTAATCACCTCTGCTTGTCCTAAACAGCATGCTGCAGAAGCTTATCCTGTGTCTCTTCAGTCTGACACTCATACTTCTTTGCACTGCTCAAAGTAATGAAAGGGGAGATTAGGTTGACCCGGAATTAGGGGACAGCATAGGAAGTATCAAGTGTGAATATGTGCAGATGGCCCGCTGTCTCTGGACACTCGCAAAATCATGGGTGCAGGGTCATGAAAGGACACCAAAGAAACACCCAATATCCTAACCCAGAGGTTCTCAACCTTTGGGGCACCAGGGACCAGTTCTGTGGAGAGAGGTTTTTCCGCAGACCGGAGAGTATGTGGTTTTGTGTGCTGCCTGCATCCTGCAGATGGGGCTTTGCTTGTTTGTGCAGACCAGTTGCTGGCATGCTGTGGCCCAGTGCTGGTCCACGGACCAGGAGTTGGGGACCCCTGTTTTAAACCATTTTCATGTGGGACCTGTACACCCCTTAAAGTGTGTCCCAGATCTGTGGGTCTCCCTAAAACTGCAGGAAGTGTGTGGGGAGAGGCCTTTTAAATTGCTTTATACCAGTCTTCCCATCCTGGGACACCTGTATACACTGGATTTCAACTCTCAGAATCCCTGGTTAGCATGAGCCATGGGAATGGCTGGGAAACGTGCCCTAGGATTTAAGAAATTTGAGCAACCATTTGGAATTGGTTCCTAACTTATCTCATGTTTTGTTCATGTTTAATGTTTTGCTCTTACGACGTTCTAAGCCAGAGGTCCCCCTAGTTCTAGGTTGCTTCTCTCCTTGATGAGTTTCCATCCGTTGCTTCTTGTCCTGCCTTCAGGCGCTTTGGAGAGTAGCTTGACTCCCTCTTCTTTGGGGCAGCCCCTGAGAGATTGGAAGACTGCTGTCATGTCACCCCGGTCCTTTTTTCACCTATTTATCTACTCTCATTTTACATGCGTTGGAGCTCTGTGAACTTGGCGGGTTTCGTTGCAGATGTTTCATTACCCAACAAGGTAACATCATCACTGCTAGAAAGGAGTGGGGATTGGGAGGAGGAGGAGGAGGAGGAAGAAGAAGAAGAAGAAGAAGAAGAAGAAGAAGAAGAAGAAGAAGAAGAAGAAGAAGAAGAAGAAGAAGAAGAAGAAGAAGAAGAAGAAGAAGAAGAAGAAGAAGAAAAGAAGAAGAAGAAGAAGAAGAAGAAGAAGAAGAAGAAGAAGAAGAAGAAGAAGAAGAAGAAGAAGAAGAAGAAGAAGAAGAAGAAGAGGAAGAGGAGGTGGATGAGGAGGAGGAGGACTATGGAGTCCTTGATGGTCTCTGAGCTGGCTTCTTTTCTTGCAGACATTTCATGACCCAACTAGGTAACATCATCAGTGCTAGAAGGAGGAGGAGGAGGACTGTGGGGTCCTTGATGTTCTCTGAGCTTAGTGGTTTTCTTGCAGGCATTTTATTACCCAAATAGGTAGCATCATCAGTGCTAGAAAGGAGTGGGGATTGGAAAGGAGGAGGAGGATGATGATGATGATGATGAGGAGGAGGAGGAGGAGGAGGACGACGACTATGGAGTCCTTGATGGTCTCTAAGCTTGGTGGTTCTCTTGCCGGCGTTTCAACTAGGTAACATCATCAATAAAACAGAACCAGAATCACCGCTGAGGTCTCCGTCTTGGTGTTTTCCAGCCTCTCCTTGCATCATCTCCATCTGTATCTTCTACTTCAGGACATTATTAATCTAGAATTCCGGAATAGCTCTTTACTCACTCTCCTACGGAGCAACAGTGCCAAAGAAGGCAATTGTTGCAGGCATAGAAACAGGAAACACGAGTTCCTCTTTTTGCTCCATCTTCAAAAGGAAACATTTTGGGCAGGGTGAAAAGTAGCTCCAGATGTTTCTCCTGCTGCTGTAGGGATGGCTGCCTTGAGGTCCTTGGTGGGCATCCTTGCTCCACTTCAGCTGGGGTTCCTCTTGCTGGTGCGAGTCCTGGCGGAGGGTTCATTTGAAAGAATAGGTGAGTGGTTTTGCTCAGATTTCTAGCTGGAAGACAGGGAGATTAATAGATTGACCAGAAAGAGCCGGTCCCAGATTATAAATTCTTTGAGGTGAAGGTTTCTTCCATTGATTTCTCCCTCAGAGGCCAGGTGAACAAGTAGGTACAGCCGTGAAGAGCATCAGAGAACTGAGGTTTTGAGGAGGTCAAGAGTGGTCCCTGGTTTTGTGATGGTGGTGGGGGGTCTCAGGATGCTTCAACATGTGGATGGACGCTTCTTGAATTTGGGCTAGAAGCTTAAATGCTTCCGACAATGTCACCACGATGTGAAAAAGACGTTGAGACTCTAGAAAGAGTGCAGAGAAGGGCAACAAAGATGATCAGGGGACTGGAGGCTAAAGCATATAAGGAACGGTGGCTGGAATTGGATATGTCTAGTTTAACGAAGAGAAGGACGAGGGGGGACAGGATAGCAGTGCTCCAGTATCTCAGGGGCTGCCCCAAAGAAGAGGGAGTCAAGCTGTTCTCCAAAGCGCCTGAAGGCAGGACAAGAAGCAACGGATGGGAACTGATCAAGGAGAGAAGCAACCTGGAACTAAGGAGAAACTTCCCGACAGTAAAAACAATTAACCAGTAGAACTGCTTGCCTCCAAAAGTTGTGAATGCTCCAACATTGGAGGTTTTTTAAAAAGAGACTGGACAACTATTTATCTGAAATGGTATAGGGTTTCCTGCCTGAGTAGGGGGTTGGACTAGAAGACCTCCAAGATCCCTTCTAACTCTATCATCATCATCATCATCATCATCATCATCATCATCACTATTATTGATCATCGCATAGTCAGCCATAGGTTCAGACTGGATTTGGCATTTATGTCTACCTATTGAGTCTTTCCCAAGGACCTGGGATAGGCAGATATGGATGTTTGAATTGATGGCATTACAGATCTCGTCGCAGGATGGAAGCTGTTCCTAGTAAGGCCACCTTTTGCAATTGGCTGATGGCGAATTTGTCAATGCCAGTGGTGTCCAAGTGGTATCATCACCATCATCATCATCATTATCATCATCATTATTATTATTATTATTATTGATCATCGCATAGTCAGCCAGATGTTCAGACTGGATTTGGCATTTTGTCTACCTATCGAGTCCTTACCCAGGACCTGGGATAGGCAGATGTGGATGTTTGATGGTATTACAGATCTCATCGCAGGATGGAAGCAGTTCCTAGTAAGGCCGCCTTTTGCAATTGACTGGTGGCGAATTTGTCAATGCCGATGATGGTGTCCAAGTGGTGCTCCAGTTGTTTTGGGGTTGCACCCAAGGCTGCTAAATTCATTATTATTGTTTTTACTGTTAACCATTCTGTTATCAATTATAGTTTATAGAGGACAGGCTAAAAATTTGCAGGTATTGAGGTATCCTGGGTTGAATTGTCCCTGAGTTGTCCTGTGGTGACTCAATCATGGCTAGACAACTGGGTAAATCGGATGGGGTTTGCATCCACTCTGTTGTGTTGGGGTTCACTTCAGGCCCGTGTCTCCCCCATCCAGGCCTTGATGAATTCCAGCCACTGGTCCATATGTTTAACCCTCTTTCAAGTGTCCCGTTACACCCCCACGAGTTAGTCACCTTATCTGAACACTACAACATCTATGCTATGTGGTCTATCTATATGTACAAATGTGTTATCTAGAAAAACCAGTATGTTTTTTTCTAGATATGTACATATTAAGATAAGGAATCAAGGGGGGGGGGACATGATAGCAGTGTTCCGGGATTTGAGGAGCTGCCACAAAGAAGAGGGGGTCAAGCTATTCTCCAAAGCACCTGAAGGCAGGACAAGAAACAATGGATGGAAACTAATCAAGGAGAAAAGCAACGTGGAATTAAGGAGAGACTTCCTGACAGTGAGGACAATTAATCAGTGGAACAGAAGTTGTCTCCAGAAATTGTGGGCGCTCCGTCATTGGAGGTTTTTAAGAGGAGGCTAGACAGTCACTTGTCTTAAATGGTATAGGTTCTCCTGCTTGAGCAGGGGGCTGGACTAGAAGACCTCCAAGGTTCCTTCCAGCTCTATTCTATTCTATTCTATTCTATTCTATTCTATTCTATTCTATTCTATTCTATTCTATTCTATTCTACTCTATTCTACTCTACTCTATATTCTATTCCACTCTATTCCACTCTATTCCATTCCATTCTATTCTATTCTATTCTATTCTATTCTATTCCATATTCTTTTGTGTTCCGTTCTATTCCGTTCTATTCCATTCTATTCTATTCTATTCTATTCTTTTCTATTCTATTCTACTCGACTCTACTCTACTCTACTCTACTCTATATTCCATTCCATTCCATTCCATTCTATTCTATTCTATTCTATTCTATTCTATTCTATTCTATTCCATATTCTTTTGTGTTCCGTTCTATTCTGGTCTATTCTATTCTATTCTATTCTACTGTACAATCTGTCTATTCTATTCTATTCTATTCTATTCTAATTCTAATTCTAGATTACAGCGGCCCCCAACCTTTTGGGCCCGAGGGACCAGTTCCTTGGAGAGAGGTTTTTCCGTGGACCAGAGGGGATGTGGTTTTGTGTGCTGCCTGCATCCCACCGATGGGGCTTCAGTTGTTTGCATGGCTCAGTTTGTGGCATGCTACAGCCCAGTCTGGGGAACCCTGGACTAGAAGACCTTCAAAGTCCTTTCCAGGCCTAGCATTCTATGATCTATTTCTCCCCACCCCAGCCCCATTTCTGCCTAAGTGATCTTGTCTTTGTTCTGAGTTATCTGCCAGATCTAACAATCTGCAACCTTGCAAACAGAGTCAGTGGTTTTCATCCAGCTTCGTACTACATTGCACCACAAGTGACAAATCACCAGAGTGGTTCAAATTGCTCAATCTTGTGGAAGATAAAAGCAAAGGCTCTCTGTTCTGAATTTGTTACACCGTCCATCGTTTCCTGCACTTCTGCCCTGTCCCCTTTTTAATTTTTCCATTCCAGACTGGGACATGGACCCTGTGACACACCTACACAAGGAAGCAGACACAGGGATATATACACACAAACAAACATACACTGCTTCAAAAGCACCTGGAGAATTTTGTGGCTTTTCCTGAAAACACACGCTGGGTCCTTGGGAAGCTGTGAAGAGACTGCAGTCTTCTGTATGGTTTCCAAGAAAAAGTAGAATCTTAAAAGTCAACACCCCCCCCCCACTCCCAACAATTAAAATTAATAAAGAATGCATGAGACTGCAGAATCATACAGCTGAAGGGGACATCAGAGGTCATCTAGTCCAACCCCCTGCTCAGGCAGGAAACCCTATACCATTTCAGACAAATGGCTGTCCAATCTCTTCTGGTTGTTCCACTGGTTGGCGTGTCATTAAATCCAGAATGTAAACACAGCCTAAACCAGTGGTTCTCAACCTGTGGGTCGGGACCCCATTTGGGGCCGAACGACCATTTCACGGGGGTCGCCAAACAACGCAGTCCGCCATTTCCCCCCCCCCCTTTTCCTTAGCTGTGCTACTCCCTTTTATTCTATTGGCTTTTGAAAGCCAATAGAATAGACTCTCTTGAATAGAGTCCAATTCTATTGGCTTTCAAAAGCCAATAGGAATTGCCCAGGCTGTCTCTGCCCTGCTGAGCCCGCCAAAAGTCCCATTCTGCAAACGGTGCTGCACCAGTTGAGTAGTCCTCGACTTACGACCGGTTGAGTGGTCCTCGACTTACGACCGGTTGGGGGTCGCGGCATTAAAAAGGTTGAGAACCGCTGGCCTAAACCATTCCGTGTGAGGAGTATAATGCCTAGGTCAGGATGTTGTAATTGGGCTTGTAGAATAAGGGAAGGGACCTTGTGGGTCATCTAGCCCAACCCCCTGCTCAAGCAGGAGAGGCTATATCATTTCTGACCAATGGCTGTCCAGTCTTTTCTTGAAAGCCTCCAGTGATGGACCACTCACACGTTCTGAGCTGTTCCATTCGTGGATTGCTGTGGCTGGGGGTTGTCGATTGTCGATTGGGGGTATAGAAGAAAACAACTAAAGTTAAGCTAATAAATGGAGTCAGGCCTGGAAGCGGGGGGTGGGGGGAGTGTAAAATAATCCTGCCATGCATTGCTTGGCTCACCTACAATCATTTTGGTTCTCCAGACTAAACCGAAGCCATTTTCCTTTTCAGTTGGTCGACCTCCCAGTCAAAGCCCAGAGGCTGTGTCAATCATAGCAGGCAGTGACCTTTTGCTCAAGTGCACCCTAACTCAGACGGATCTGCCAGCAACCGCTGAATGGTACAAAGACTTGGGAAACGATCAGAAGTTAATTTATAGGCAAAGCGACAAATTTTCCCGCGGAGTGAGGGTCCTACTAGGATCACCCATCGACTTCAGCGTCAGCCTCAGCAACATGCGCCCTGAAGATAGTGGGACTTACCGCTGCTCAATGATTAAGGAAGGTCCACATGGTGGAGAACGCACTCCCAAGAAACTCACCGTGGTCTCTGTCGTTGGTAAGTACCTATCAGGGAGGGAGGGAAGGAATCAACTGAGAGATTTGGAAAGGAACCTGGGGGGGGGGAGCAAACGGCTGCCAGTCTGGAGGAAGGGGTCAAGCAGGGACTTAGCTTGGAGTCCTTGTGCAGCCACAAGAGGCATAAGCTTCACCTCCCCAAGATCCACGAAGCCTTATCTGCAGTGTGCTGCAGCTGGGAAAAAAGCCAGTTCCCATAACAAAGTGAAATTGTGTACTGGGCTACATAATAATCATAATAATAATAATAATAATACTAATAATAATATAATATAAGGCAATCAACACCTGGGCAATCCCAGTCATTAGGTACACAGCTGGAATAGTGGACTGGACTCAAGCAGAAATAAAAGCAATGGATAGGCAGACCAGAAAAATAATGACAATGAATCATGCCCTTCATCCACGCAGTGACATTGATAGACTTTATCTACCAAGGCAAATAGTGGGCGTGGAATGCTACAAGTACATCAGATGGTTGAAGAAGAAAAAATGTCTTTGGAAGAAGATCTGAAGAACAATGATGAAGATGCACTGAAATTAGTATATCAGGAAGGCTTACTAACTACTGGAGAGACCAAACTGGCCTACAAGAAAGACCAAATGAAGAACAGAATAGAGGCATGGAAGACAAAGCACTACATGGCCAATACATGAAAAAAATAGCTGGGAAAGCAGATAATAATAAAACCTGGCAATGGCTAAGAGCAGGAAAATTGAAGAAAGAGACCGAGGGACTAATTCTGGCTGCACAAGACCAATCCTTAAGGACAAATGCATACAAAGTCAAAATTGAGAAGACAGCAACAGACAGTAAGTGCCGCCTATGCAAAGAAGCGGAAGAAACAGTGGACCACGTGGTAAGCTGTTGCAAGAAGATTGCACAGACTGATTACAAGCAGCGGCATGACAAAGTAGCAACAATGGTGCATTGGAAGATCTGCAAAAAATATCATTTGCCTGTAAGCAAAAACTGGTGGGATCATAAATAGAGAAAGTCATAGAAAATGATAAAATTAAACTGCTCTGGGACTTCAGAATTCAAACAGACAAGCACCTGCAACATAACCCCCAGACTTAACAATTGTCGATAAGAAAGACAAAAAAGTCTGGATAGTGGACGTGGCAGTGCCTGGAGACAGCAGAATAGACAAGAAAGAACTGGAGAAGATAACAAAATACAAAGACCTACAAATAGAAATAGAAAGACTGTGGCAAAAGCAAGCAGGGTAGTACCAATAGTAATAGGCTCCTTGAGTGCAATCCCAAAACAACTGGAGCACCACTTGAACACCATTGGCATTGACAAATTTGCTATTAGTCAATTGGGCAAAGGCTGCCTTATTAGTAATGCTTTCCTCCTGCGACGATATATGTATACATCAGACATCCACTCTTCCCTACCCAGGTCCTGGGTAAGGACTCGATAGGTAAGACAAAATGCCAATCAGTCTGGAACATCTGGATGACTGTGCGTGATCCTACTAATAATAATAATAATAATATAAATACTACTGTGGGATCATAAAATAGAAAAAGATCATAAAACAGAGAAAGTCATAGAAAATGATAACATTAAACTGCTCTGGGACTTCAGAATTCAAACAGACAAGCACCTGCAACATAACACCCCAGACTTAACAATTGTCGATAAGAAAGACAAAAAAGTCTGGATATTGGACGTGGCAGTGCCTGGAGATAGCAGAATAGAAGACAAAGAACTGGAGAAGATAACAAAATACAAAGACGTACAAATAGAAATAGAAAGACTGTGGCAAAAGCAAGCAAGGGTAGTACCAATAGTCATAGGCTCCTTGGGTGCAATCCCAAAACAACTGGAGCACCACTTGAACACCATTGGCATTGACAAATTCGCTATTAGTCAATTGCAAAAGGCGGCCTTACTAGGAACTTCTTCCATCCTGCGACGATACCTGTAATACCATCAAACATCCACATCTGCCTATCCCAGGTCCTGGGTAAGGACGCGATAGGTAGACAAAATGCCAAATCCAGTCTGAACATCTGGCTGACTGTGCGATGATCCATAATAATAATAATAAAAAAGTTGGAAAGGGACGTTGAGGTCATTGAGGGTCCACCCCCTGCTCAGGCAGGAAACCCTATAGCCCTTTTTTGACCATGGCTGTCCAGTCTCTTCTTAAAAACTTCCAGTGTGGAGCATTCACCGCTTCTGGAGGCAGGTTGTTCCACTGGTTAATTGTTCTAACTGTCAGGAAGTTTCTCCTTAGTTCTAGGTTGCTTCTCTCCTTGATTAGTTTCCATCCATTGCTTCTTGTCCTGCCTTCAGGTGCTTTGGAAAATAGCTTGACTCCCTCTTCTTTGGGGCAGCCCTGAGATATTGGAATACTGCTATCATGTCCCC